GAGTCCGGGGCGAGCCGCGAGGCCGCGGCACGAGAGTTAATTGGCTGGAAAACCTTGCTATCCGATACTCGACGCCCCGGCTACTGCCCTGAGATACGTAAGCGTGTGTAATCTGTATTTTCATCTGTACGTCTATCGTGTGCCGCTTCCTCGCCTTCTGCTTCTACCAATGGCTGCTCCCTCTAACTGTAACCGAACGAGAGCGGTCGTAGAAAAGCGTTCCGCTCCTTTTCTCCTTCGGGTATCTCGATTCCCTTCTGATCCGTGGCCTCTTCTCGTCCTTCCTCTCCTTCGCCGTCTTTCTTTCCCTGTCGGCCAGGAAAGATAGGTATTGTTGCGGGTGGTCCCCGGTGCACATTGTCAGACCGGCCACCAGGTAGTGTGCAACGTTGCCGCTCGCAATGTTGCGGACCGTTCCTCTCCCTTGCTCCCCGTGTTTCTTTATCCTCCTTTCATTTTCTTGTTGCTTTTTTAGCCGGTTTCTCGATCTTCTAGCGGGCAACCACTGCCCTTGTTTCGTTCGTGCGCGCGCGCACGCGCGATCAACACGTGGTTCGAGTATTTGTATGGATACGTTGATCGAAGCTGTTTTCTAGCTTGTATACCGTTTTTACGATTAGGTACTGCGCTTGCGAATGGACTTTTGTTTAATCTCTACGAGAATATTCACGTGTGTGACGAAGCGGTTTAAATAGCTCTTATGTCATACACTACGATGCTTGATAGCGAATGTGTTAAATTAGACAAAGAAATGATCTGATTTTTATTGGTTACTTCAAAACTGTTGATTGAGAAAAATTGCGAAAGAATTAATATTCAAGAAAAAATATTAACATGCGTAGCTAACGAGTTGAATTTGAAAAATTTAAATATACGCATTTGTTGATGATGAATTTATTAATATTTATTGATTCATTACACATCAATAGAAACAATAAATATAATAAGGAATATATGCTTTTTTAGCGCATATATAGTCATTTTTACTTATATTAGTACAAGTAGCCATGATACAAAATTATTTTGATTTTGCATAAATACGAAATAAATATAATTCATTATACTATTTTTTTAGTCAAAAATCGTGGTGGAAGAAAAATTTAACATGAAGTAGAATTTTTTTAATAAAATTATAAAACCATTTATTTCGACTGTTGTTAATATAAGTATTCCTCATAAAAAATTATTTTGATTTTTAATAAAAAAAAAAAAAAACAAATAAAATTCAATACATTTCTTCAGATTTGGTCGCAAAAGTTATTAACAGTCTCGCAAAAAAATATAATGTGAAGTAGAAATTTAAAAGTAAAATTGCAAATAGAATTTTAGTTATTGAATCTAGTTATTTTAACCGATGTAGTAGTTCTAGTGTTAACATTGCGGTTCCTGATTTCAGGGCAAAGCGGAAGGTCAGAGGTCTGCGGTGTGGATCAGGGCAAGGCTGCAGGATCAGCTGAGTCAGCTGGGCTACTTCCTGCAGAGGCACGCGGGCAAGGTCCTGTTCCTTGCGATCGTTGCTTTAGCCACGTTCTGCGTTGCTCTCAAGTCCGCTCAAATTCACAGCAAGGTCGAACAGCTTTGGGTTCAAGGTAAATTCGTTTTCCCGAAACTGTATGTAACACGTTTATCCATGGTAGTCATATGTAACCGGCATTGCAAAAATTAACCTTTAGCACTCGAAGTTATTTTATTCAGATATTAACCTTAACACTTTTTAGTTGAAAAGTTTGCTGAATTCATTTAAGATTACTTTTGCATTATTAATTACTATTATTGTCTGCTTCACTATGCTTATATACCATAGTACTGTAGATTCTATTAAAAAATATTTATTTGAAATTGTATGAAACTGAATGGTGCGTGCGAGTGATCTTTAGTTAATTCTTTTTAACATAAAGTTAACGAAAGAAACTTTCAAAGGCTCTTCATGCTGAGACAATGAAGAAAAAATAAAAATTGAAAGATTATGTAAATGTAGTGGGTTTGATGACACGAATTAATTTTGCGGCGATCAACGTGTTAACTAGTGAAGACCAGAGTACTATTGTTATTGCTTAAAGTGCAAATTGTTGCGTTTAATATTCAGTTTATCTGTAGACAAATTATTTTATTCTTTTATTGAAATATTTAGCAAAATGTATTTATATATTGTTCAAACTGTAGTTTTTGTAGTAGAAAATAATTTCTTATTTTGTAAAAATAAGAAACTTTTTATCAGAAATGAATGTTGCATTAATTGTTCTTAATATTTCTACATAATCTTGAAAAATATACTTTATTTTATAGATACTTATTATTTAAAATAATTATTAAAGTGTTTCATATATGAATAAAATAATTATTGAAGTCTTAAGTATATGAATACAGTTTAATTTCGCTTTTTTAATCACTATTTTTAATTTACTGTTTCTTATTAATTAGTGCTTTAACTTGATCCTTGTTAATTGCCCAAGCAAAAAGAAAACGCAGCTGCAAATTTTTCAAATTTCGCGATGAAGAATTATTCTCATGGTCCGCGAAATGACAATTAAAAAGCAATGCTATTATTATTTAATCGGCACGCAGTTGTCTTTGCTATATTGACGCATGTTTGTAATTCATGAAATCAGCTTTAAGATTTAATTAATCTTGCAATTAGAAATAATTAGCTAGATTTTTCTTTTTCTTTTCTGCTGTAGTTTGAAGCACAATACTTAAAGCGCAGAAGATAGAACATAGTTAATTATTGATTCTACTCATTTTTGTGCAAGTATTGTATTGTGATTTGCTTATTGACTTTATATCATTAAGACAGAAAAATTACACCTTGATTCGAATATTATGGTGATTATCCATTTCACGGATAATCTTAATGGATAATCTCAATGGTTTAATTTATTTAAATTGAATTTATCTTCTTACTCAGTGTTACCTTGTATGTCATTTATGAAGCACATGAGTACATTTTTTGGAACACCCTGTATATTCAATTATCTATAGTCACAAAAGTTCATATTCACAAATTTGTAATATACACTCTTCTTTTCAGTACAAAATTATAATACTAATATTATAAATTTTATCTGTATTATGAAGAATATCTTGAATGTGAGCACATTTTTGAAACACTCTGTATATCCAAATATTTATATTTACAAAAGTTCATGTTCACCAATTAGTACTACATACTATTTTTCTTTGCAAAAAATTATAATAGTAATACTACAAATTTCATCTCACTTATGAAACATAGTGTGAGCACATTTTTTGGAAGATCCTGTACATCTAAACATCTACATTCGCAAAAGTTTATATATTCCAATTTCAGCAAAAATTTATAACACTATACCATAAACATCCGAATTACAAAGCATATCTTCAGTTTAATTTGCCCGTTCTAGCAGACGGAAAACGTTAACAATTTACCCAGCAGACCTAATGGCGAATCACTCGTCGAAACGAGACAGATCGAGGCAAGTCAAACAGCATGTTCCGACATATGTAACGCGGACAATTTCAGGTGAAAAAATACAAAGACACAGCGGAGAAAGAGAAGTCGGAATAGAGAAACAAAAGGAGAATAGAAAGAGAGAGACAGTTGGTTTTATCCCCACACTCGGCGCACACGGTACATTAGTTTGCTCGCTGGGTGGCCCTCTATATTTATCCGCGGTCCGAAACGCTAATTCGAACACCCCGTTGCTAACTTCAACTTCCAACTCGCGCGCAAAATCAAAAGATCGCTTCGTAGAAACGTGTGGTAATATTGAAAAGGTGTGTGCATCGACTTTGAAGTTTTTTGCATTGTTTTTGAAATGCCAGCCAAATATAACCTGCTGTGTCAAAAAAGAAGCATTTACTATTATATTACTCTTAAGTTGCGATTGTGTAACTCTTTTGTACTTCGTTGAATAGCAAAGTCGTGGAATCTGAACATTTCAGATTTTTACACTTAAATTGCTTGCTAAGTTATGGAATTTTTAAATTTGTATATTTGATGCTTTTATACTTGGAAATCTTTAGTTCCATATAGGTTTTTATATTCTTAAATTTGTAGGTCGTTACATCTGTATATATTCATATATGTAAGTCTCCAAAAAGGTTGCTAAATAGCTATGTTTCTTACTGAGTCCACAAATTCTTAGATCCATCAATTTCGAGATCTAAAAATTCTAATTTACCAAATCTCTAGATCTACATGTTTCTATTGTAACTACCTCTCCTAACTCCCCAAACCTACATCCCCAAATTTCTGCATCTCCAAATTCCCAAATCCCCAAATTTCTAGATCTTCAAACTCCTATGTCTCCAAGTAAATACGTCCCCTTTCTAGATATTCCAATATCTAAATTCCCATATTTAGAGGTCCCCAAATCCCAAAATCCCAATATATCAAGATCCCTAAACCTCCAAATCCCAAAGTACCAAAACCTTCCAAAACTCCTATTTGCCCAAAATAACTCATCTCTAAATGACCCATCTTTAACTTCCCAAAAGTCCCTAAAAATCAACAAACAGTAGATGCCTTCCTCTCTGTCAAACTTTTTCTGGGAACATCAGATCATCTCATAAATGTACCTCACTTCGTCAAATTTGAAACCTTCTCATACATAGAACCTTCTTCGTATTATGTAACTGTCCTTTACTAGCCTTTGTCATCAAATCGCTGTCGCAACAACGAAAAAGAGCCACATTACAGTATTCTAAGCAACTGTTGTGAGGATTCTTTGGTCTCGATCTGTTTAACAGGCAGGAACATCCGTGGTCTTTCGTCTAGGATCAAAGTTAAGGTCATCGGATTTCCTGGCAGATTAAAGACGTATCAGCGTTTTATGAGATTTTAATGAGCAAACGAGTTTGCCGCGTCTTTGCCCACGGATAAAGCCGAGGTTGAAATCATCGGAGCGTGGATCGTGCACAGATGCTGTTTAAAATGTAATAACAGCGAGGTGTTGGCAAAATCGTTAAAACGCCATTCGTCTCGAATCCCGGAATTTCGAGATGCAACACGGCGATTGCAAAATGAATCGCCTTAATGCGTTTGTGATCGGTTTTGAGAAACGATTTGCGCTCGTCTCTAGTTTCGTCAAATTATGCGAACGATAAACATTCACGAACCCTTGATTGTTTCGAAGAAGTAATTTGGAATTATATTTGTTTTGGACATTACCTAAATTGGTTTTGGTGTTTAAAATGATGTGAAAATATTTTAGAGTCTTATACAGAGTGACTAATTTTAGGCGGTTGTGATATTCAGACTTACTGATATTAACCCGCGAGTTGGCGCGTGAAGAGGCTGACCCAGGTGTTTAGAAGAGCCATGATTCTAATTTTCCAAATTTAGAGACATTTCTAAATTTGTATATCTCTAGATCTCAACATCTACAAATTCCTGTATTTCTATATTCTAAAATCTTTACATTTCTGGATTCCTATATCTTCAAATCTGTATAATCCCTAAATCTCTATATCTACGTACCTATGTCAACCCACAAGTTGGCGTGTGAAGAAGCTGACATGTTTAGACGAACTACAATTGGTCAGAATAAAAAAATGAATGCCTAGTCTCACACGTATTTTCGGTGGTAATACTATTGATTTAAATGGTCGCACATCAATTAGGCTAAAAACAATAACTCTCGGCAAATGTCCCGAGAGCTTCTTTTACTTTGAGTCACACGTCAACACATGGGTTGTCACATGTAATTACTGGTACTAAAACAAAGGAGCTGTTAGGCATATTTTGTGTTTAGTAACTTTCCTTCCTGCAGACTACAATTATAATCAAAGCAAAAATTCAACTATTGTAAAAATATAAAACCAATGTGTCATGTAGGGTGTGTCACAAGTGTAACCACATAGTGCAAGAGTTGAAACATGGTAACTCTGGAATGTTTTAATGAGTTGCAAAGTTTCTTCCACTATATTGCCATTTCCCTTAAGGTGTCTACCACATAGATATCACGTAACATGAACGCACCATGAAACAGCAAAAAGTCTCAAGTTTACCGTGCAAATTAGTCGCCACTTTTTCACCATGCTGTTCGTGATATAGTATTAATTAAATACTGACGGTGGAACGCTCGAACGAGTGCATGATACGCTAGGAATGTTTGTTCTAAGGTTGTTCGTTTACCGAGGCACTAGTATTCCTTTTTCCAATATCCAACAGTTACATATAAATTGCCACATATTCGACATGTTCACAACGTCGGCCTTGTGATACGCCTGGATGGTTTTCATGTTGTAAGATAAAATTCGAAATTGATTGGAGGTAATGTAACTTACAGAATCTTTCAGTGTAATGCGAAATTAGAGATATTTTTCAACGAACTTAATCATCGAGCAGATTGACAAATTCATTCATTAAAAGTTGAGTAAATTTGATGTCATTATTGGAGACGTCAGAATGTAATCGTTTGGACGTGGAAAATTAACTTTTTAATTTAATGCTAATTTGATAGTAATTTTTAAAATTTCTATATTTTTGGATTGTCAGATTCTATAGTTTTCAGGCCTCTAGGTGTCCAAATAATAGATTCAAAAATTCCTAAGTTCCCAAATCCTAGATTCAGAAATTCCTAGATTTCCGAATCTTTAAGTTTCTGTA